CCGTGGGGGGCGCCACGCAGCTCAGGGTCACCGGCTGGCCCTCCTCCACCTCCACCGTCTCCGCGGGGCCCAGGGAGGCCGCTGCGAGTGTGAGAATAAACAGTCATCTTTCCTGTCCAATAGCAGCTGCCATTTCTGCCCACATGACCTGCAGCTCCTGGGGCCCCATCTGGAAACCACAAAGGCCAGCCCCTCCCTTTGAATTAGCCAATTGGGAAAGACTGTGCGCCTGAGCTCCAATCAGGAGTGGGGGACGAGTCACGTGCGTCAGGATTAATCTGAGGGACCGGCTCAGGGCAGGTGCTCCCAGACCCTGCGCCTCCTGGGGAGGGAAGCTGTGCCTGCGGCCTGGCCCTTCGGCTCTGCGCGCACCGGGGCCCCTGGATTCGGGGCGCCTTATTTCTTACACAAGGGAGAGAAGGGGTGTGGTCAGCTGGCTCCAGAACCCAGTACCACCCGCAGGGACTCAGCCTCAATCCACCACCCCAATTATTCGAGTATTTATACACATTTCATCCAGAAACAGGACCTCAGCCGGCACCAACATGCGAGGGAAGATAGGCTGAAGGGGCGGGGTCTGGATGGGAAAAGGGAACAGTTGGACATCTACTGGCACTTGCTCTGTCCTGTGTCAGTTCCTCTTACCTACATTTATTTATTTATTTATTTATTTATTTATTTATTTATTATGTTTTTATTGACCATTAGAGAGAGAGGAAGGGAGAGGGATAGAGAGAAACATGGATGAGAGAGAAACATGGATGAGAGAGAAGCATCATCCCTCGGTTGCCTCCTGCACGCCCCTGCTGGGGGTGGAGCCCGCAACTGGGCATGTGCCCTTGATCGGAATTGAACCAGCGACCTCTCGGCTCCTGGTCGACACTCAATCGCTGAGCCACACCGCCAGGCTTACCTGCATCTAATTTAACTTTCAAACTAACCCTCGAAGGAAGAATTACGCGGCTCCCTCTACAGATGAGGGAAGAGAGGCTCAAGGTCGCACAGGCCTGGGAGTGGGTCGCACCCAGGTCTGCACGCTGCAGAGTCTGCAGCCCTGGAACTCCACGGACTGAGTGAGGAGCCCCGGCCCGGCATCCTGGCCTTGCTTATGAAGGAGCAATGCGTGCCTCCCGCACCTTGCAGGCATCCAGGATAGAGGGGAGGACGGGCTCCCCGCCCCCGTCACAGCCCCAGGGAACAGCAAACAACTGATGTGAAGCAGCTGTGAGTTTACCCCCCAAAAAGGACGGGGATAGGAAAAACAAGTTGGCACCTTTGTTGCTGTTTGTTATTTCTTCAAGTTTTAAATTTAAAAAATACTTTTTCTGAGGATGACAATTCTTATCAATGAGAGTACAAAACACTCCCAGAAGCATGAGAATATTGTGCGGTTAGAAATTATGAACATGAAATATAATGAGTCTTACTGCATTAGTTTAAATTTTAAAAAAAGAAAGAAGAAGGGAGTTATTTGCTTGTGATAAATTTCAAGTATTAGGAAAAGTACTTTGGAGAGCTCTGGGAATTCACTGTTCCATTCCAGAATTGTTCCAGAATTCTGCTTAGGGTGGGTCCTTGGCAATATTCTAATCTATAGAATCAATCCACAATTGAATAATAAGGATATTAGTAGAGAGGCTTTGAGTGACAACAGAATTTTTTTAAGGTTAAACAGCTTCTGAGCCAAGAGTCTGAACCTAGAACTAACCCCATTGTCTCCATAGCCATGGCATCAAGATTCTTGCTTTGCTCTCTAGTTCTTGTGCATTATCTCGCTTCCCACAAACCGATGGAACTTTCTGGAGGGCAGTGAGTATGCCTTTCATTTCTCCAAAATTCATTCC